CCCTTCTTTTTTTTTTTTTGTTTTCTCTAAGTGTGTCGTTCCTAGGGAAGCGGAGCCCGGCCTTCGCGCAGTGACCGGGGCTTCCCTTGGCCGACCCCCCTAGGGCTGCGGAGCGTATACGGGAGTGCCCGCGACCGATAGCTGAGCGAGGTACTGGTGGTTTAAGTACATCTTTGCAAAACAACACATCAATGCAGTGACGCCAGTGTGCAGGAAACCGGGTCCAGCGTCCCATATTCAATCTACTCTTCCCTACCTAGCCTGCTCCACAGTCGGGTATTGGGGGGGGGGGACCACCGGGGGGCACCAGTGGGGTCTCCCTCCCTCCCTCCCCTAGCCTCCACCCAACACCTATTATCCTCTGCTATCCTCTTGGCGCCTATTGTGTCTGGGGCATCTATAATGGCAAGTGTTTGCACGTGTTTGGAACGACTTGGAACGACCGGGGAAACTGCACAAAGATGGAAGGACTGGAAAAACCAAAGAGCAATGAAAGGGCGAAGAACAACAGAAAATAACAGAAAAACAGGCTGAAAAACCAGCTGGAAAGCTGAGAAGCCAGGCTAAAGTAGGCTGCTCTGAGCTGCGCTGACCTCCCTCCCTTCGCTAACCTCAGCCAACCAAAACAAAGGGCAGTGCCACTCGAAACCAGGCTGAGAAACCAGGCTGAACTAGGCTGCGCTGAGCTGCGCTGACCTCCCTCCCTCCCCTAGCCTCCGCCAACCAAAAAAAGGGCACTCGAAGAGCGACAAAAAACAGGCTGAAAACCAGGCTGAACTAGAGCTAGGCTGCTCTGAGTTGCGCTGAACTCTGCTGTACAGCTGAAGTATTCTGAGGCTTTCTGGACGCTTTTCAGTCCGAGTTTATGCAGACGGCAGGAGTTCTGCTAGGGACAACGGATGGGGTGAGAATGGATCTGCAAAGTCCTGGGCGGGACGTAACGGGGAGCCGGGGTCTATCTTGGTCCAGTCGTGAAAGATCAACTGATAGTCCCTTATTATTTCTTCCCGGGCCCCTCGTTCTTCTCCCTCTGTCCGGCGACCGGTCCACTTTACTGCTGCCACCCATCCCTCCCTTTCCCCCCCCAGCCAGTCCATGCAGAAGGTAGCAATGATCCGGTTCATGTCTCCCCAGTAGGACGTTTGGTGGAGCTTGTCTTTAGTTTTCTTCCATTGTGTCGCCAACTCATAATGAATCAGTGTCCGAATTTGGTCCATCGCCTCTCCGTCCTGCACCCATGCTCCCTCTAACTCCAAACAACATCTTCTCCACCATATAGTCCAATGTCCCTTAAACATAGTTTTCCAGAAAAGTGTGATGAGCATTTTAGTATGTTAGAAGTTAGAAACTGAGGATTGGTTGTGACCCATCTCTCCTGTCGCTCAGCCTTTTGCATCTATTTCGCCTGTCACACTGAATCAGCTCACGCTGTATGTTCTGTAATCAGCCTCTTCAGCCTTATATGGTGGTCAGATTAGACATTTTCATCTAGCTGGTTACAGCTTATCAAAACATTTCCTCTTCATTTGTAGCCATACCAACTCGTGGGGACCAGGGATAATGAGGAGGGGGGAAGGGATCTGGGAACTTTGATAGGGGACGAAGGGGAACTGTGGAGTCCACGTTTGTCCAATCTTGGAATATCAGGCGGTAGTCCCCTTGAATTTCTACACTTTTCTTCTCTTTGTTCTCTCCTCTGACCCCACTCTCTTTGATCATTCCTATCTTACCTCCTTGAGCCCCCCCTAGCCAAGCGCCACTGAAAAGTTTAATGTGATGTTGGATTTCTTTTTTATTCGTTAGGAATTTAATTTTTTCTTTTACTTTGTCCCATTGAGCTGCGATAACAGTCTGCACCTGCAGCTTGATTGTCTCTGTAAAATCAAGGCCATCCAATCTCGCCCCCTCCATTTCAATTTTAAAGTACAACAACGTTGCCAGAGGACCCAGAGGATGACTCTTCTGCCTGTTATGAATACGGTATGAGAGAAATTATCCAATTATCAATGATCCGGAGACCAGGTCTCACATAACAGAGCCTGCGACTCCCATGGCCAAGTCCAAGGGGTATTAATTATTAAAGGACCTCCATATCCTATCCCACCATTGCCATAACCAGACTGCGCCTTATGTGGACGTAGCCCGCACTGCCCGCACCACGGGCACTAAGCTAGTAATATATTATTGAAATAACTGCGTGGGTGACTGCTGCATAGTTTCAAATTCGCAAGAATAACAGTCCACTGCACGCTTGCGCCAAAACCAGTTCGAAACTGCAAGAAAAACAGTAAACCGCGCGTTCGACGGCCTACCGGTTCGATAATTGGCAAAAACGGGGGGAGGTCGCCGACCGTGGTGTCAGTAGTGAAGTGGCCGTCAGAGAAGAAACTTTGTTTTTCCCTTTGGACCCTTGTGGTGGCCTGTGCGTGGAGACAGGACCTACACAGTTGCATTTGCTGGATGAATCGGTCGTTGCGGAATGACAAGATACACGAAGTTGCAAAAAAAAAAAAAAAAAAGTTGCAAAACGAATCTATCTAGATACAGCTCCGGCCGTTCTTACTTACGATAAAGTTGTGAGAACGTGAAGGATGCATATCACGTCGTAGATTC